AAAAAAAAAAAAAAAAAAAAAAAGAAATGAAACTAAAATGAAATTATCTGACAGTCATTTAAATAGGAGAGATAACAAATATTTTAGAACGCACTCTTATCAGTCTTTTTCAAGTGCTTAAAAAAGCTTCATGAAAGTAAAAACTTCTTTGACGCAGTTAACCTTTATCGTCTTCGGTACACTTCATTGCATTAGCAACTCTACTGAAGTATTTTCAAGAAATGTTTTGACAAAAATTTTTTCTTTTCGATAATAATATTATTGGCACTACAAAAGTAGTAAAAGTGGTAATTTCTTTTGTTTTGATAGTAGCATACATTTTTCGGTGAATTGTCTTCTGCTGTTTAATTCGTTTTTTGGTCAACAAACAAATTGCCTTACCGCTGCAGTGTGTTATTGCTTGCTCTATCAAATACCACCAATACTTATCGCTGTCCATCTTAACTTACCAAAATGTTACCAGTTTTCTTTTTTTTTTTTTTTCAGCTTTCTGTTATACAAAGTAATAACACTGAAATTTTGTTACTTCCAAATTTTTGCGCTGTAAATTAGTCAATTTATAACAGCCTCTTTGGTCAATAACGATATTTGGTTTAACAAAGTACACAGAAGAACACTTAAATTTAGGAACATTATTGCTCTATCTGTTGACTTCTATTACACCTTTGCAAATCAACCAAAATGGTAAAAGTCTGAAAAAGATGCCTAATTTATGCTTACTTTTTATCACCTAAATGAATAGCAGAATATAACAAATCAAGCACAAATTTTAAACTATGAATTTCAACATCTCATTTGTACTCTATAATGACATTGTTCACAAATTTATTTGCAGTAGCTCTGTGCTCACATTTATAGAATGAACTTGCGTGATTTAGTGAAAATATTTGTTACTGGTAATTTTATCAAACAACTACAGGAAAGGTTTATAATCTGTTTAAGTACGAAAATATAAAGTTTTAAATCTAACTTTACACTTTTTCTGTGCAGCAATGCTAACAACTTAATTTTTACAAGTTTTTCTCGGTTTACAAAAACGACAAACAGTTTAAATATCGTTCTGATATTATATCACTTAAAAACTTAATTTCTCAATTATGAAGCCATTTGAAAACACATATTTCTTCTTATAAATTTGAAAAAATGTAAATAATTTTGAAAAATTATTGTTCAACATCTGAAACAAAAAAAAAAAGGTTAAAGCAAAAAATTCACAGTGCAGATAAAATAAGTCTAGTCCCAAACTATAAAGTTCCTATACAAAAATTTAAGAGTGTGAAGCTTTGGCTTACAAGTGAACAACATTTGAAAGCATACTGAAAAACCTTGCCGACAAACTTATTACGTAAATATATATATATATATAATCAAAGTATATAAGTTAAGTCAGTAAAAAACTGCAAAGTAATCTGGATTTTTCATCAACTCGTTGGGTTTACACCGTATTTTCTTCAGCACAGAACTTCATCGTTTGTTATATAGCTGAAAAATACAACCGTCTATGCTCATTTGAGTCATCATCAAATCTTTCCAAGATAAGGTAGAGTTGGCAAAAAAAAAAAAAAAAAAGGGGTAAACAGTCTTTGCTAGTGGTTTGTTTGAAGAAAACAGTTTCTTAGTTATCATCAAGTCTTTGCCTAAAACATGTTTTCGTTTTTTCTCATAGTGTAATTGAGTTTTTTTTTCCTTTTTTGATCGCGCAGAATTGAGTTTGCTGATAAAAGAGCAAAATTTATGTATTGACGATAAAGCTGACTTATTTCAGCAAAATGACAGATAAAAAGAAATAACAGAATAATTTTTTTCTTTGGTTTGATTATCGCTTAACACAAGTATCTGTAGGAATTTATCGCTGACAGACAAAACTGTATACAGAGATGTCCGGTGCAACAATGTCGGCATCATCACCAGCGCCTCCGCTGTCTGAGATTAGCAGTGATTCGGACTTACAATATCCTGTAGCGTTTAAACGTAAAAAAACAGCTGCAGAATCACCGCTTATACCGGTTATAATTTTGTTTAAAAAAGGAAAAAACTTTTTCTCTCTGACCAAATTTTGGACAAAAATAGAACTGATATACATTTATTGATAAGTCATTTTTTATAATGCAACTATTTTACAGCAAGGATTAGTTAATAAAAATAAAATAAAGCAAAAAATGACTGCAAAATAAAAAGCAGTAAAATTTGCATAATTTATAGTTGTTTTTTTCTGTTTATCTTTTTCAAATGTTTATCTCTTCCTTTTTATTCCTTAATTTTTGTTTAAGAATGATCAAAATATAACTAGTGAAGAAAAAGAAAGGCGAGAAAAACGACGTCAACATAATTCGCAGGCAGCTGCACGATATCGGCAACGACGAGATGATACAATTAAACGGCAACAACGGGTAACTAATTTTACGTAATAAATTTTTTCCTTTTAACATTATTAATCTGCAGTTAAAGCGCAAATAAGAGATTTCAAATTGTGGCTCTACATTGTAAACTTTTGTTTTTTTCTTTTTTTTTTTTTTTACTGTCAACATTACTCAAAACAACTTTAGATTTGGTTTTGTTTGTTTTTGTTTTTTTTGCAGGACCTTGATAATATCAAAGCTTCATTGTCGGCCCTGCAACAGTTGCATAGAGATTTGAAAAATGATCGTGAAAAGTGTGAACGAGAATTGCAGTTAGCAAGAGAAAAAATTGCAGAAAAAGACGATAAAATTACAGAACTGATAGCTCGGTTGAGCAGTGTCGAAAGTTGCGATGATCCACTGGTAAAAAACTGCAAATATACCGTCAAAATTGAAAATTTCAAAGACTCTGTGTAAGGAAACAAAAAGAAAAAAAATTTTTTTTCGTATTTATTTTTTTTTCCTGGAATGCAGAAAACATCTAATGATATCCGATTTACAGAAGTTAGAATCTGTTTGTTCAACAAAAACGATACAGACCCAAACCGAATTGACATTTATAAGCATGAAACCGACAGATCAGTGTATACCGATAAGTGCGATACCAGTTGCCGATCAGAGTGATTTGGCAAAAGAGATGAGTGTGATTAAAGCTGAAACTCGTCCACCATTTGGTGCAAAAATTTTTGAAAATCCTAATGGTGTACCGTTGACCAGAACTGAGGATGTCGCTCGTAATGCTGAACGAATTACATCACTGTTGACTGCACCAACAGCACCACATGGCCCGCCAATACATCATCCATTGATCGGTCCGCCAATATCAGTGCCAAATTCTTTCATGAACTATACATATCGGCCTCAACAAATGACTGCACCGGATCCTGGCGCTCCAGCAACTTATCAGAATCCGGCATTTAATCATTTGGTTATAACGGAACCTCAACCACAACAATTAAAGTTGCCAATAGCATCTGATGTTTCACGTGAAGATCCACTGGCATTTTTACGTGCTAGTCGACCAAGGCCAGGAATTCCACGAGTAAGGAATAAAGTTGTTACAAATATAGTGAAAAAATTCAGAAGTAATGTCGCAAAAAACATTGACAGTCAAAGATTTGTTGTTACGCTATAAATTTTTAGGCAGCCTTAATCTTACCAAAAGGACGTTTACTAAACCGTAAGGGACGACCACGTCTTGACGAAGTATGAAGTTATTGTTCAACTGTTTTGAAGAACAGTTTAAAATGTAGAAAAACTTTTTTTTTTTATTTTTTCCTGACAGTTTGTTCTTATTTCTCTTTTTCTTTTCTTCACTGAAACCAAAAACGGTTTAGACGTCTACTTCAAATTCGCGACCGTGGAAACCAGCGCCGCCATCATCAACAATGAAGCAAATTAATACCGTCATAACAACATCAGGTTTGCAACATGTATATCGTCTTCAATTTATTATGTTACACAAAAATAAAACCAACGTTATTCTTCTAAAAAAGCTTTAAAAAAAAGGGAAAGAAAAACTTGCAAAAATGTGCTTTTTTTTACCTATACAAAAATGCTTTCAGTCTTGAGGAATTTGAACAACTGTATTTCTGTCAAA